AGATGTATTATTATTTCTAGTCCTGAGGTAAGAAGCTAAAATATAAGATGCTGAATATAATTTACTTTGTTGAGATGCATTTATTTTTGATTAAATGTTAAATTTAATTGTAAATTAAGAAATTAAAGTGCTTGTTAAAAGATGGCATGTTTTTCGTTGAAAATGTTTATTTACCTAAAGTGAATGAAAGTAAGGTTTTGTGTTAAAGGTTTTCAACCTGAATGAGCATCAGGAGGCCAACAAGAGGCTGAATGAAGCAATAAGGAATCTGCAATCAATCAAATAAAGAGAAAAGATTCAAATTTGAGTTGTCCTTCTGGTGTGAATCAAGCCATTTTCAAGTTTAGGCAGGAGTCAATAAAACCAACCGAATCATAACTTGACACCAACCGATCTGGGGGGACTCTCCCATTCTGGTACACTCTGAGAAGAAAATAAATAGATGTATTACAACATATTAATAATATTTTATGCCATTGTTTGTTTTTCACTTTGTTCTGACAGCTTGCTGCTACACACAGAGAGAAGAGCAAAGAGGAGAGAGTCTGTGTGAAATACTTTAAATTGTGGGTAAGGGTAGATAGCCCCCATTGTTCTGTGACCTGTCAATCATCAAACCTGGGGTCATATTTCATTATGTGTTCATTTGTATCTGAAGTTGTACCCATGGATGTATAAAGAGTAGTTCTACTGCAAAGTTATTCTCCGTGGGGACTTCCGGCAACAATCTTGATTCTGATTGGCCAGAAGACTCAAAAAAACTTCAGCAAAGATGTATTATTGAGAAGATGATCACTACGTGACAGAAGTTTTCAAAAACGTTTATGGTCTCTGGTACTTCCAGTCCAACGCCGACTGCATGTATAGTGTTAGAAAATCGGGCCTTCAAAATAAAAGTTTGACTTTTTCCCCACTTTTTTCCTTTTTTTTTCTTCACTCACACATTCGCGACCCACTCGAAACGGGTCCGCGACCCACCAGTTGAGAACCACTGATTTAGATTGTATCCTTATTATTTTCTAACTGCTAGCTAAGGTGCAGTGTGTTTTCAGTCTGCGATGAAGGTTAGCAGCTCTTCTCTGTCCTGATATCAATGGGAAGCTTGTTCCACTATTTTGTTACACAGCTTGCACAAGTGCGTGTCTGTTTGTCCTGGTATTATATTTGCCTTCCTCCATGTTCCCAGCCTTTTGCTTTAACACACAAACATCAAAGCCTCATGAAAAAGGTTCACTGACAAGAAGTATTGTGTAAAAAACTGGCCTATAGCCTCAGGTTGAAGGATTCACTATAAGATAAAATGGTGTTAAAACCTTACTGCCTCATAGCTGTAATGTTGACCTCGTGTCTTTTATTAAGGTCTCACACGCTGATAAGAGAGTTTCACACCCAACAGGATTTATTTTGTGCTGCTCAGATTAAGTTAGAGGGAGGCATTACTGAAGAGCAGCAAGGAGAACTGATCAAACTGGGTTCATTCAATTAAGGAAGGTCCGTGGAGTTTGCCAAGACTTTAAGCGCTAAATCGACCTTGAGCTGTAAAGCAGGGAAGGTCTGATTTAAAGTGACTTAGACTTGCTCTGCTGCCTGTCAATTAATACTTGCTCTGCTGCCTGTCAATTACACACAATGTTAGCAGCTCTGTCAGGTTGTACTTTTGCTCAGTGTTGCTTTGAGCTAAATGCTAACAACAAAGCTGACATGGTGATGGTTATCCAATAGCAATTTGACTTTAGTGTGATGGCATGCAAACATGTGTACAGGAATTAGGTACAGCTATAAAGGTACTTAGTACTTTTTATTATCTTTTCTTTTTAATGTTTTTAAATGCCTTTGTTTGAATGTCTTTCATTTTTGCAAATTGCCTTGTGTTGAAAGGTGCTATATAAATAAACTTGCCTTGCCTTGCCTTGTCATAAACCAAAGTATTGGATAAATGTGTTTCCTAATAATGCAGTTTTTTTTCAAAATGCACTCTTATTTGTTAATATAATTGCCCTTTCTGTATTTATGCACCTTTAAAGTGCACATATCATGCTATTTTTAGGCAATAGCGTAGGTATCAGATATATAAAAATATATAAAAAACATGTCTATGAAGTGTTTTGCTCAAAATACCAAACAGATCACCCATTATAGACATGCCTCATATCCCTCTATTTCACTTCCTGTTTCAAAAGTGCTGATTTGAGATTGATTGATTGATTGATCAAATAAAAAAGGAGGGGGCTGAGCTCATGCGGGACCCAGCAGCTACCGTCTAAACTAAATACTGCCGTGATGAAACGCCATATCATGGATTATCAAGGATTATCTCTGAAACAGTATGGAGCTCAAAGGCTTTCTCTCTTGCCGGTTATACCACAAGGTGAGTTCCTTTTTACTTCCTGCTTCTTCACACACATGCTCTCCAGTACAGGTTAGCTCTGAGTGTTAGCGATGCTAATGTAGACACCGACCATATTACGTCCAAAACAGTCGGGCATTGTTTCTGATAGCAACTTTCTGATAGTGCCGTGGGTCCACATTTCAGATATTACGTCATATCGGACGCAAATCTGGATCAGCTCCGTTGTTCCCCCGTTTTTAGAGATTTGGGTACGGAGGAAAAGAGAGGGTTTTATTTTCTGACGCTGCGTGAGTTCCCTGACACACCGGGGACACATCTTTATGTATAAAAGACATCAAAAAGTGCATTTTGCATGATAGGTCCCCTTGAATGCAAAAAACCAACATGACAAAAAAAGAACCTTAAAAAATAGATTAACTTTATTGTGTGTGTGAATAAATACCAGAATATGTGAAATGGACTTTATCAAATGCAAGGATTTAAAATGTTGACACTTAATAAAAATTCGCAGACAATTTTTTATATTTTTAATAATAAAACAAAGAAATTCCCTACAGTGTACAGTGTCCACATGTATGTATACTATCCATATTTAAAAATGTGTAAATATTTATTGAAAAAAAGCAAGTGTCAAACACTATTAGGTCAGTCAGTACAAAATTATTTACATAACAAGACTTATCTCAAAACAATGAACAGCAATTGTAACGAACAACAAAGTTATAATGATAATTAAATGCAACATTTCTGTGTAACAAAAAGTCCCTTAGATAAAATGTTGAAAATATAATGTCTAATATATACAAGTGTAAAATACATTTTCCTGATAAGACTTTCAGCTTCTCATAACGCACCCGACGGAGTATCACAGTTTTGTAGATATGACATAAAAATCCATCTTATCTGGACAGAAATTCAATTGGCTGCGATGTCCTCTTTAAAATGTCTTTGTGGAGATATTATGTTCTGTAAAATCCTTTGGGTTTGGGGCTGAAAGATAGAAAATCACAGGTTTTCCTTTACGTTTTGGAAAGACATAAAGCTACCATGATGTTAAAATATTAAAGTAGAATATTTTAGAGCTGAATGCGAGTTTTATGGTTGCTATACTTACTGTTTGCATTGGCAGAGTCGACGCCTGAGGTGTCTCATCTTCTGCTAATGTGGACCACAGAGAGAGATCAATGATTAGTGATTGTTATTAGCCGCACTCATAATCCACAGTGTGTTAGAATAGAAAGGAGGAGGAGGAGGAGGAAAGGTTTGACTTTACTTTTCTGCGTCGGCAGAGGATGAAGGAGAGGATGAAGACGAGGATTATGATGACGGTGACGCTGCATATGACCACCAGCATCCACACACTCAGCCAGGGCACTGTGCACAGAGACAGAGTGGGGTCAAACACACACTTTAAACACAGCAGGGGAGGACTCTGTTTTTCCTGTGAGTATGTAGCTTCTTTAAACATCACCTATTACGGCCCGTCCACACACAGGCATGAAAAAAATCTTTCAAAGCTTCGCCCATTCACTTGAATGGGGTGACGTAGAAGATTTTTTATCTTCGCCGAACTGCATTGTGGGGAGCGGGAAGATAAAAAATCTTCTACGTCACCCCATTCAAGTGAATGGGCGAAGCTTTGAAAGATTTTTTTCATGCCTGTGTNGCTGCTCAGAGGACGGGAAGGAGGGCATCCGCCACAAGGCAACATAACTATTCCCCAACACCGTTAACTATAAAGTGCTTCCGCTGGAATACAGTATTAACTCCAGTGCTGTACTTAAAATACAAAATGAAGGACCTTATCCTTTGAAGTCTTTTCTTTTCAGCCTTAACTGTATACCCTCTACTCCATCAGACCGGACATAATTGTCCAACGACTATTTGAACAACTTGTTTTAACCAAACAACATCAATGTGTTTCTACCCTTCAGGGTGTTGCCCACATTTATCATTGCAACATTAAAAACAACTATTATGTGTCTTCATTATTTTAGTGAGTAACCCTGACGTGTTCCGTTCTCCCCCTTACCTTCAGATTAGACACAAAAACAAACACATGGGTAAAACCACAATATTTACGAAAGAAAGTAAGTAAGATCCTGTCATTTGGACGATAGGAAGATTAAGAAAATAACTTTATAATTCAATACAAAATTAAAACACTTTTAAAATTGAGCCCATTCTTATTCCCTTATTCTGCATAATAAGATTCTTTAAAGGGGAACCTTCATGCCAAGAACGACTTCTGATGTCCTTGTAATACATAAATACGGTCCCGGTGTGTCACGCGGAACTCACGCAAGGCGTCCAGAAAAGGACCCTCCTCTTTTCCCCTCCGTACCCAAATCTCTAAAAACGGGGGCAACAACGGAGCTGATCCAGATTTGCCGTACGATTATGACGGTAATATCTGAAATGTGGGGACCCACGGCCCTATCAGAAAGGTTCTACTCAGAAACAATGCCCGACTTGTTTTAGGATAATGGTCGCGTGTGTTTACATTAGCATGGCTAACACTCAGAGGCTCTAACCTGTGGAGGCATGTTGGGTGAAGAAGCCAGGAAGTTTAAAAAGAACCTCACCTTGTGGTATAACCGGCAAGAGAGAAAAGCCTTTGGACTCCCATTACTGTTCAGAGATAATCCTTGAATAATCCATGATATGGCGTTTCATCACAGCAAGTATTTAAGTTTTAGACAGTAGCTGCCCGGTTCCCCCGCAATGAAGCCTCAGACCCTCCCTATTTTTTTTAAGCTTTTACCCAAATCTTTCACTTTTGAAACAGGAAGTGAAATAGAGGGAATTGAGGCATGGCTAAGAATGGGTTGATCCCGTTTGGATTTTTGAGCAAACAACCTCCATAGTACATGTTTTTTATTATATTCTGTATATATCTGAGACTATGCTACTGCCTAAAATAGCATGATAGGTTTGGACTTTAATTACCCTGAAATTATACATCCTGTATTTTAACTTAAGAAAACATTTAAGCTCAGGCTTTTTCTTTGTCAAATAAGTCTTTTTATTTCTAAAATGTTAACTTTTAACTTACTTAAAGTACATTCATTCTCACTGACTCTGTATTTTAACAAAACCATTTGAAGTCCAGGACTTTCACTGAAGTGTTGTTGCTAACATTTTGAACTCTTTTGATGGACTTTACTTACTTAAAGTCCGATTTTTCTGACTAACATTTTGCAATTATCCGATGTTTCCCTCCGTCTCCTCAGCGGGCAGCGGAGCCGGTGGGGGTTTATGCTCCGGATCGGGGGCACGGTGGACCTGAAGCCTCCGGCCTGGGACCGAATTTAAAGGAAGCCTTAAATGTACTGGAAGAAGGAATAAAGATAGCGCTGAAGACCTTGCCATCGCCTAAATCCCAATCGGAAGCAACAACAATTGGAAGAGATTAAAGGTGAACCATAGCATTGAGATGATATTGAAGATTATATCTCACGTTTTAACCATCCCCAATCGATGTAACGAAATTGAAAACATTTCTGAGACACCTTTTATTTCTTGCCATTGCAGATGAAGCCCCGGAAACAACATCTCGTCGTGGTCTCCCCTGATCATCAAGAACCAATCCAGCCGGACCACTCTCAGGACTATTCTTCCTTAAAATTAAAGTTACCTACTTGGCGACCCGATCTTCTATAAGTATGAAATACGCAAACTAACAGGTTGGGAGAATATCATTTGATGATAAACACTAGAAGCTCAAACTAAAAACGTCATAAGAAAATTAATGGTAGAAATAATTACAAATATTGTTGATGAAGTAAAACAAAATATAATGTGGTATACAACATCATTTAAACTATAATAATTTCCACTCTGTCTTCAGTGAGTGTGGGACCCTCCTCTCTCCTCTGTGCCGGGGAAAAAGGTGACTCTGTCCTGAGCGCTGAGACCCCCCTGGGTAAAATGATTCAATGGAGAACCCCCGAGGAGAGTTAAACCCCCCTAAATCTCCCTTCACCTTCAACGCCTCGATGCGGGACAACGGGCCGTGGAGCCTGCATTGGTGACTTACCGGTCAGACCAAGAGCCAGGTCAACGTCTGTTACAGTTCTTGGGTGAGTTCAAGGGGCTGTCCTGTCATTTATAATCATATATATTTATACTTTGTCTTATACTCTGATTGCCTTTCACTCTGTTGAATTGTTCTTTTAGTCTTATATGTTTTTAACAGAGACATGTGTTTAGGTTTGACGTAAAAGTTGGACTTGCAAATGGTTAAGGACTCGGGGGTTTTATGGTTTAATGATGGGAATGTTTAGATAATGTCTAAGAGGATTTATGGGTAGGATTAGTAGACTGTTTTCTTTCTCGTATATAGTGTGACTGTGAGCTGTGTTCAGGGTGCAGAACCTCTTCATCCTCTGAGGGAGAAGTTGCTCTGTTCCTGCATTTGAGATGGATTTCAATTGACTTTCTTTTTTACTTTATTCAACATCACAAAAGACACACTTGTTTATGAATCATTTATCAGTCATTTGAATCTCCACCACAGATGCTTGTAAACAAGTGTGTGCTTACGAATTAATCACAATAACAAACATCTTGTGACATCTTTGTCTCATCCCTTTCTCCATGCTGAGATTTCTGCACATTTTTGCAGATTTCGTCACAAAGCTACCTACATAGCTCTCCCAATTTTAAAATGAACCTCAAAATGAACTCAATAGACCCCTTTACATTCTGATATACTGCATACACTTGTTCTCACATTCATTTGTCATTACATTACACTGAATTACATTTCATTTAGTTGATGCTATTATCCAAAACATCTTACAATAAGTGCAGTCAACATGCAGGAACATTAGCTTCAATGTAGCCACGTCCTTTTAGAAATCAGAATCAGAAACAGGTTTATTGCCAGGTAGGTTCGCACGTACTAGGAATCTGACTTGATGTCATGGTGCATACATCAAATATAAAAAACAAGAAATCTAATATAAAAAATAAAAAATCTTTTACACCGTAATAAAATATAGTTAAATAGCAATACAAATAAAAATAAAGCAGTAATTTACATGGAAATAGAATTCTATGAATGCATTTTAGAATATAAACTATGAAATGTGAAATATATGTGCATCTAGGAGTATGAACATTGTGTGCGTTAATGTAATGCATATAGTCTATGATGTGGCTGAGGTAAAGTGTCAGTGGGGGGGGCCGGGCCTTGTTTAAGAGGCCGGTAGCGGAGGGGAAGAAACTGTTCAGGTGGCGAGAGGTATTGGTCCTGATGGAGTGCAGCCTCCTGCCAGAGGGGAGGGGGGTTAGGTTCTCAAAACAGAAAACAGAAAACAGAAATGATTTTATTTTAAATTGTTTAGTTTTTGTTGGACACAGTGCAGCAGTTCTCTGATTGTAGTACTCCTAATACTCAAGGTCTAAGGTGTCTATGAAAGCCGTATAGGTTAGTGATACTTCAGAATAAGAAGGGTTGGGGTCAAATAACCCCAAACGTTTTAAGTTCATCAAACAGAAATGAGACATGTTTGATTTTGTTTAGTTTTTTAGATTATTTTGGCCGAGGTGCAGCAAGACTTTGTATCCATTTTATATACATTGTATTTGTATCATCTTTTTTGACAGTTTGCTTAAATGTACTCTTATTTTAGAACCTATTTCCTCTCACTCTGTTATTGTATGCACCATTATCCACCCAAACTATTCCTTTAGTGTAAACCAACTTGCCAATAACCCTGATTCTGATCTTCAAAATAACCTCACCAATATTTCTCTTTCTTCAGACCTCTCCCCAGCTCTCTCTCGCCCTCAGTATACGTCTACATCCAGTCATCTCTCATTGCCCTGCTCCCTTCTTCCTCACATCTCCTGGGAACAAATCAAAGCTAGAGGCTTCAGGGAACTTCACTGGAGTTTCATCCCCACAACAGCCCCTGTTCCTCAGAGGCTTTTCTCCCTCTCTGCGGGGGGTCCACTCACCTGGAAGCCAGACCAAAACAAAGGACTGCAGCCCGGAACCAACCTGAAGAAAGGAGATCTGTCTCTGAGAAGAAACCGAGGGGGAAAGGACGACGCAGGAGAATATATTTGTGCCCTGGAGTTTGAAAATGGGGTGACTCTGAAGAGGAGTGTGCACGTAAAGCTTCTGCACAGTAAGTCTAAACAAATCACTCTGTCACCACATCCGTCAAATGAAATCCAGTTGTCTGTGTCCCTGTTCATCTTCTTGACTTCCAGTTTCTTTTCTGTCCTTCCTAAATGAAATTCATAACAAGATGTCCTTTAAACAACACATGTTTTTTAATCTTAATACACTTTGAGAGTGTTTTCATGTTCACTTGGTGAAAATGCCAAATAGAAGTCAAAATAATTAATTATCTACAGTTCTTGAGGTCCAGTCTCTTTTCCGTCCTTCCTAATTGAAATTCATAACAAGATGTCCTTTCTTCTCTTAATTGTTTTATTATAATAACGTTTTAACCTAATTACTGTGGGTTTAACTGACAAGCTCAACATTTTGGTTATTCATAAACCAGTAGACAAACTCATAAAACATAGTGGTTAAATTAAACAACACATGTTTTCTAATCTTAATACATTTTGGGAGTGTTTTGTATGCTCACTTAAAGCCAAATAGAAGTCAAAGTAATGAATTATGTAAAGTTGTTTACAAGATTTTTATTATTTATTATTATTATTCTTTTTTCTCTGTGTCACTGTTTATCTTCTTGACGTCCTCCTTTATTGAAATTCATAACAAGATGTCCTCCCTCCTCTGAAGTGTTTTCATCTCTCTGCTGCAGAGTTTATTTGCAAGTGTCCCCGGTGTGGTCTAATTCAGTGACGAATACACGTGTGTGGCTCCACTTATATAAGGATAACGAGATTTTCCTCCAGCAGAAGAGTGTGATAACAGGAGGGATGTTAATTGGACTGTTTTTAATTGAGTTTATGGTGGATTTATCGTGCTAAGATTTAGCATTTTTATCTGTGTTTTTTAACCAGGAACATTGAAAAAACACATGTTTGTCAATCTGAGTTATTCAAGGAAGGGGGGTTATCTTGCAAATCTCTTAATTGTTTTATTATAATAATGTTTTAACCTAATTACCGTGGGTTTAAATGTCAAGCTCAACATTTTGGTTCTTCAAAAATCAGTAGACAAACTCATAAAACATAGCGGTTAAATGAAACAACACTTTTGGGAGTGTTTAAATGTTCACTTGGTGAAAATGTACAGCCAAATAGAAGTCAAAATATTCGTTTATTTGTCCCCGAGGGGAAAATGAGTTGCAGCACATCACAAGGTATTTAAAAAGATAAAACATACGTCACTGACAACAACATAGACACAGATTAAAACATTTAAAAAAAACAGATATCGGTAGACATGGCAAGGGGCCCAAGATCCCATTTGCGAGAGGGGGGGAGGGGGGGAGGGTAACAGTGCCAGACGAAAGACACTCTAGATCTGTTCTTTTTAAACAGAGGGCCACGATATCTACGCCCGGATGGCAACAGTTCAAAATAAGAGGCCAGAGGGTCACAATACTGTGTGCCATTTTTAAAACTCTGTCCTTGTATAAGCTTTCTAGACTAGAACATGAGATTCCTGACAATTTACTGGACAATGTTACGGCCCTCCTGACTGACTTTTTATACTCTTGTTCTCCAGATTTATGGTGTCATTTTACATTTTTTATCTAAACTATTATTTAACCAGAACCATGAAAATAAAACCTTTTAGATCCCTCTTGATTACAGTAGTTCAACTTTGACCCCCAGGAATCAATTCAACCTTTCACCAAACAAAATTAAATGTACGTGTCTGTTTATTAAATAAAATCAAGTATTAATGTTATTCAAGCCAGAAGTCAACAAATTAAACACTAGTGTTTGATTCGTGTTACAGTGCATACTAAAACATTTAAAGTGGACCTATCATGCTATATTTGAATAATATAGTGTAGGACCATACCTATATAAGGCATATTTATACTTTTTATTTTTCAAAATACCAAACAGATCATGCATTTTAGCCATTCCTCATTTCGCTCAATTGAACACTGTCTTTGCATGGGCTGATTCTGTGAGAACAGCACCATCTACAGGCCTGGCATATGTACTACAGCGTCTCCAGCGCTTTCGAACGGCAATGTCCGTGGCTGTCTCCTCCTGATTGGTGGAGTTGGCCCAATAGCCGTAGCGCCACTTCTGTGACGTCATAGAAGTGTTCAAATCTGGATCAGTCTGTATCAGATCCGTTGCAGCCCCTTTTTAAGAGATTTGGGTATGGAGGAAAATAGAGAGGGTTGTGTTTTCTGACACTTGGTGAGTTCCCTGGAACACCGGGGACACATATTCATGTATAAAAGACGTACAAAAGTGCATTTTGCATGATAGGTCACCTTTAAATAATGACATGACATGGTTCTCTATTGCAGGCCGTGATGCATTCAGTGTCAGGGCTTGAAGTTGTATTAAAATCTTTGCTTTAAAAATGTAATTAGTTTTATCAAACTTTACATCTATAGGGTTGACAAGTAATCTATCAGAATCCCACATCACAAAACGAAATGAAATGAAGTGTATTGATGTCTTGAAGGTGACTGTAATTGTATTTAGGGCTGCAGCTTAATATGGTTTTTAATATTGATTCAAGTCCATAAGTTGTACGATAGTGAGGGGTGTCTGTTGTAGTTTAGATCATCAGTCTGAAGCCAACACATATTCAATTTAATTTATTGGAAGTAGACCAGCAAGTATTTGAAGGGTTGAAGCAAGAGAAATAATTATAAAGTGTTTTGGATCATTAATGAATTTTCAAAATATTTACTACAAATGCTGTTTCTTGTCATAATTTCAGCTGTAATTGCCTTACATCTTAAATCTTGAGGATACACAAGGACTAATGCTGTTTTTCTCTATTTAAATGTGTTGTTAATGCTATGTACATTGCTGTTTTGATGTAGACGCCGTCCTGTGTTGCTATGTTTCTGATCTTATTTGAAAAAAGAACAATTTTAATCCCCTTGATTTGGCAAGTTTTGCTGGCACTCTGCAGCAACAGAAGCAAACAGCCTTTGATTTTCTCAGCTTGTCAAATGTTCTCATGCATTTCATTATTTTCTCCTTCCTTCTGTCTCTCCATCCAGTCGTCTCCTCTACAGGAAAAGAGCTGATCTCAGGCCAGCAGCTCAACCTCACCTGCGGCCTCGAGCAGGCGCTGCCCTCTGACCTGCATCTGAAATGGTTTCCGCCCAAACAACCGACCCTCTCTGACCCCCGGCCCTCCTCACCTCTCATCATCCCGGCGGTGAGCACAGCAGACTCAGGAAAGTGGAGGTGTGAGCTGTGGCAGAACAACACAAAGCTGACGTGGGCTGAGATAACGCTGGAGATCGGTGAGTGCAGGAAGTGAGAGCAGAAAACAGGAAGCAAGACACGGGCGTGACCTTGTGGCCACAACCCGACATTAACTTGGTTTTACAGGATGTGCTCTGTGTCAGTGGCAAGCTAAGCAACATAGAAATGAAAACATAGAAGAACAACTCTGACTATGGGATTTTAGCCTTTGCAGACCATTTACATGCAACCTATATAACACACTACAGGAAAAGGAAAACCCCAAAATGCATAATATGGTCCTTTGAACTGGAATTATTTGCACATTTTCAAATACTGTTTCCTTGCAATCTTCTTAAATGTCCCCTATTATACTGTTTTTCATCAATATATTACAGATCTCAGATATATACAGAGCCTGTCTCTGATTGGCTGAAACGCCAAACAGATCATAGCAGCATCCCATAATCCCCTCTGTTTCAGCCCTGTTTCAAAATTGCTGATTCTCTGTCTGTTACTTTTGTTATGACATCATAAAGTGGCCAAAATCTGATCAGCTCATTGTCAGACAGGTTTTTATAGAAATGGATCAGGACAAAAAGAGAGAGAATATTTTTTCCTGAAACTTTCAGAGTCTCTTTCCACAGAGGGGACAAATGTTGATTTAGAAAAGATGTGAACAAGTGGATTTTGCATAACGGCCCGTCCACACACAGGCATGAAAAGAATCTTGAAAAATCTTGATGCTGGGCGTGTCTGAAGCTTGGCGATTTTTTGCGAGCAACGCCACCAACAACCAATCACATGAATCTCCCGCCCCCGACATACAAAGCAATAGC